GATGTGAGACCAACTGCAGGTTATCACTTTCATCATGATCAGGTGTTCCTCTGTAGGCCTCAAGCTAAACTTATCATGCTTTAGAATTCAGTGGTTCCCAACCCTGGTCCCTGAGGAACACCATCCTTTCATTCAACCTTTATTTAGACGGGTTAATCCTGCTTGCTCTAACACACCTGATTTGAATGAAAGGGTGATTAACAGGTTTCTGCCCAACTTAAGGAAGTAACTGAACCACTGAATCTGGTGTGTGGGAGCAGAGAAACAACCAAAACATGCAGGATGGCGTTCCTCAAGGACCAGGGTTGGGAACCATTGGTTTAGATCCAATACAACCCAGAAAATCTATTAATCTATAGCAAATTAAAAGAAAAATCTATCCCTCTTGTTTAAAACCGGCTCATTTAAATAGAAATTCAACATTTTGGGAAGTATTTCAATTTTTTTTTTTTGCTAAGAGCTAAACCAGCAGCTGAGACCCACTCTGTCAGACTGAGGGACACAAACTTGGACCCCTCCAACAGTGAGAAAAACCTTCATCTGGCTTTTTGAAACTTCACCAGTGATGACACAGACACAATTTGACATGTTTAGTTATGTAAGATGGTGGATTGTTGTTTTGAAACTTAGTTCCTTGTAAATCAGCTATAAATGTATTTCACTGGGCCAGGACCTTTTCAGGAGACCTAAAAAGGCTAATTCAGATTTTTCTAAAGTGGTGTTCATTGAACTTATTGTCAGAAATCAATACCTGCAGTAAAGGTTGCTCAGAATGATCACTTTCACATTAGACAGGTATTTAAACAGACATCTGTGGGGTTTTTCTACTCATCGTGAGAATTTCTGCCTATTTCAACCTGATAACACAAAACAGCACCTCAGAATATCTGAACTATCCCTTTATCTTTTATTATTTTACTATAGAGATCATCTATCTCAGGGGAGACAAACAGAAATATTTCCCGAAATGTGCAATCCACTTAAACTGCATGAAGAAAGTAGAAATGCGACACGTGCAGATTCACACTCTGGGCTTTTTGTAGGCAAAACATCAATAAAGATCTATATACATGTGGTCTATTTGATGCATTTCTACACAAAATATATCTATGTTGTGTTTAAAGCAAACCAGCAAGACAAAAATGTGATTACAAAACAAACCATCATGGAGAAAGAGGAGAAGGTAGATAAAGAAATAAGGGGAGAATATGAGCTGCTTGTTATGACTGTAAGGCCTTCCATGTTTCCTGATTTGATTTTTAGATTAAAAAAATAATCCCAGCCTTCATGATAATAAAATATTAAGCCAAATGCACAAAGGGGTCTATTTTAACAGCAGCATGCAAAGGTCTGAGCACCAATTTTAGGTCATCTTTTCCACGTTATTAGCAGAAGGCAGTACGATGAGTTTTAGAGGTAAAAATCAGTTGAATATTTTCAGACTCTAAAAGCAAAAATCCCAGCGTTTCTAAAAAAAAAGAAGTTAAAAACAAAATCTAAAAGGCTTCCAAAGCATAAATGATGTCCTCAACACAAGAGGCGGGAGCTGAAGGTTATCTAAAAAGTCTCAAAATGACAGCAGTGTAAAAAGTTTAATTTATTTCTTAATGAGAGAATTATTATGAGACTAAGAGACAAAAATTAGGAAGTGAAATTTTCTAAAGGTTTCATGTGAACAGGCTTCATACATTAAAAATTACATCAGTCTTTTCATGCTGATCAAACTGTATAATTTAGGCGCCCAAACTTTCACATGCCACATCGGAGCTGCCAAAACAATAAGGAAAAGATCATCAGCGGTTCTTAGGCGCGTTTTTAACCCAAGCAGGCCAGTTTATAAAAGGGAAGTGGGGTTGGACGCTGATGGATTTACCTTTTCCTCCATGTGTGGCGTTGACTGTGTAAACAGAACCAGCAGGACAGACGAGACACACTCAGATTAGAGACAGGAGACGGAAACGTGCCGTGACCCACACACACACACACACATTGACAGCCACTTTCAGACACAAATCCACACTGTTTGTGTGAACCTGCACTAAAAAGATTAAAAACCTGTTCAGCGCAGGAGCTTGTTCTTCTTCATAAATAATGCAATCTGCTTAAAAAGCAACACTGGCCTCATTTAGGTCCTGTTTACGTGAACCATCTCTGGAAACTTTGGTTTCTCCAATGCTGACGGTGAAAAAAGCTGCGATCCCTCTGGTTTTACTGCCAGGACACTAGCTGGCGCTGTGGTTTTGTGTTTCAACGTGCATGAGGACAGCTGCAGGCCTGTATCATTTGTGTAGCACGTGATAAATGTGTCACCTCTGACCCAAGAGATGGTGTCGCTCACAGGCCGGGTGGTTCATCTACTCCAGTGGTCTGCAACCTTTGTGATAAAAAGAGCCATTTTTACCACTTTGCTTATTAATTACGACGTCCGGAGCCGCAAATCCTGCTACAACTGTCAACTGGTGGCCCATGGGCCACAAGTTTGTTGGAGATGGTTTTTCCATCCAGTGGGGGTGATATTATAAAAAGAAAAATGTCTAACTATTATTAACATTTATTGATATTTTTTACATTTTATTAGAAAAAAAACAGATTCATGTAAAGAAAGAAAAATATATATAATTTTTTAACAATTTTATAAAAAAATTAAAACACGGTTTATGAGTTCTCTGACTTGTTGAAGAATTAAGTATCCAACTTAAAGCATAAAGTTAAAGACAGGATCAAATTTGACTCGTTTGTTGGATATCCAGTTAGATTTTTAAAGAAAAAGAAATACTTCTGTTTACTCTGTTTTTTTGTGTGTGTTATTAAAGTTACTCATCATATTCCTTCTCAGCAGCTTGTCTTAAAGATATTCAAAACATTCTGGTGGTTTTGAGAGAAAGATCACGCTGAGAGACTGGAAGTTGACTTAAAGAGGCTAACAAACTAGCACGATGTAGTCCACATGTTTTACGTCATGTATTTGTACTATTCTTCACATATTTCAAAATGACAGGAAATCTGCTAAAACTAGCCATTTTTATTGTTGGTAATAATTTAAATAAAATTCGGATTTATGTTAGTTTTGGTCAAAGCCTGAAAGAGCCGCTGCAGAGGGACCAAAGAGCCACATATGACCCAAGAGCCGCAGGTTGCAGACCCCTGATCTACTCGCACAAGCGCAGAGAAACCATCGACTGCAGCCGTCCGAAGTGCAGATTTCACACCAACGTTTCCAAAAACCTCCACTCTGAGACCTGGACTGAAACGTTTTGTTGTCAGGGAAAACAATCGTTGTCCTCATGTAGACGAACTGCAAAAATGCTATGGTTTTATGTAAAAACAGCGTCGTGTAAACAGGGCCCAAGATTGTGTTGAAATGTGTTTAAGACGCACAATTTAGAGTTTAGGATTTAAAGCTCATAAAGCAGGACGTATATAGAAACTGTACCAGAGGGTGTTTTGCTTCATGCTCACGGGTTGATGTTCAGACCTGCACGCTGACAAATGCAGTACTAAACTTTTCTTTTTTTATATTTAATAATTTGATTAAAGGCTTTTAATGGCTGCTGCATGTTGTGGCTCACGTCCAAACAGCAACAAAAAACATTCTTGACAAGACGACGAGTGAGACTTTTAGTGCGAGTCCAAACAGATGCAGGGAGACACTCACGTTCGTCCACAGCCGGGGCCTTCTGATTGGCTGTTACTGCCCGCCTGCTGCAGCTTGGACCGCTCGATGTGCTCCACGTAGGTCTGGATCATCTACGGTCCGCCAGAAAACACATCGTTTAAAGGCCGGGACAAACAAGTTACAGATATCTGAGCCGCTGTTGGATAATGTTAATGAAAAGTCTTAGACTTTATGAAACCAACTGAATTTACTGAAACCAAAAATATGGGTTTTATTTTTGGCGAAACTAGAAAATACAAGTGAAAGTAAAATGTAGCGAACAACTAAATATTTGTGGAGAAAAAAGTGTAGACAAAGAAAATTTAAACTAATTTATTTAAATAAAATAGAAAAAAAGTGAAACCAAACGGTAAAAAAACGGATTAAAATACAAAAAAGATCACGTCAATAAATAAATAAATTTACTATTAATACATAAGATTTACCAGATAATGATAATAATTGTAAATATTTTACTGTCAACAACTATTTACCTGTTTTCAGAAATGAGGAAAAATCAGCTAATATGTAAACACTGACAGCGACCATTGTTTCAGTGTTCAGACTTTTCTAATCTAAAATCAAATTTTAAAAATACATACATAGATTTGATTTACACTAATTTATTACGGGGGATCTGTACCCTGAAGCCCCGCGATAAGTGAAAAACCACCAAGTAGGAATAGTACTACAAGTAGTAAGTAGTAGTTTATTTTAAGATATATACAGGTATATAAATATATGTATATATATAGGCATTTTAAACCCTTCCCACACTCTTGCAATATTCTAAGCAACGTTTCTAAACTCTAAACGCTCTAAAAGAGCACAGCATGTCATGATTTCAGCTCTCTGCCTTTGGCTGCTCTCTGCCAGCTCTCTTGGCCACGCCCACTCCTCAGCTGCAGAGCGGAGATATGACATGCTGCAGGAGGAAGCTTCTCCTGCAGCTGTGGGCTACACACAGGTGCAGCAGGTGCTAAATAATTTAAAATATGTGGCTCATCCAACAATCAGCCAATTGTGCATCACATCCAATCTTATTTTGAAAAACCGCGATAGAGCGAGTCTGCGAACAACAAACTGTGAAGTAGCGAGGGACTACTGTATTTTATTGTCTACAGGACACGTTAAAGTCATCTGTTCAAATTCTTGATAGAAAATGGCAAAAAAAAGATTCTGACAAAGTTTTCAGATTTTATACTTACGATTTAGTAAATAGTATAGACGGTTAAGGCGTCGTGAGTTTTGCAACAAAAATGATTCATGCAACATTTTTTGAAGCTAACTCGTGTTTTAAATGAAACCAACAGGTTTGTTCACCTCTGTGTGACGCTGATGAAGAGTGTTGTACTCCTTCTTCATCTCTGCTTCTCGCTCCTCCAGCCGAGTGACTGGAAAACAAACAGACCAATAAATATATATATATATATATATATATATAAATATACAAACAAGGAACTAAAGCAAACTTTCCAAAGACACGTATAGCTTTTGAAGTTTCATTTTATTAAAACTTTGAAGACTTTTAGTTGAATTTGTTTCAGAAACTTGACTTTTTCACGTATTTTACAGGAAGAAATAACTAAAGAGGCATATTAAATATGTGGCAGAGGGGAAACAACAGCATTTCCTTTCAAAAGAACAAATAATCTCAAATTAGATCAGTATTTTTCCTGCTACTGAACAACTTCAAGGTTTCTTCAGGATGAGCGTTAGATTTATTTGTATTTATTGGCGCCTAAAGAAACTAATGATTCAGATCAGGTGTGTTTCCAGCAGGTGCGTTTGATGAAAACCCAACACATGTAGGAGCACGGCTCCACTCACTCTGGTCAGAGTAGTTTTTGGCCTTGAGCTCCAACTGCTTCCCCTGCAGCTCCAGAACCTCCACTTGGATCTGCAGCTCCTTCTTCTCAGCTTCCAGCATGTCCTCAAACTCAATGAATTTCTGGAAGGAGCAGAAGAAAATCAACGAAAGCAAAAGGAGTTTATGGTGTCAGAAATGAGCATGCTCAGACTGTTATGCTTTTTGACTCCACACAGATTAGGTCAGAGGTCAAGTTCGACTGACTGACAAAAAGCTGCTGTGTTTGTGGAGATCCAGTAACTGAGCAGACATAAACACTGAGCTCATGTCTCCTTTTGTTTTCCATAAAGCTGCTCACAAAGACGCCCTGTTGTCCCACAGCAGCAAGTCCACAAAGTCCTAATTCTGTAATCCTCTGACTGCAGCTTGGAGCAGCGTTAAAACGCACCTGATACACACAAAACAACAGCGTGTGCCAGAGCGCTACGAGTCTGCAGACCTGCTGCACAAGCGACGCTGGTGCTAGAAGTCAGCGGATCACTGAGAAGACGAGTCGTCCACAGACTGGACCGTTTTATGTCCGTCAACTTCTAACGAGTTCAGCTGAAGGTGCAAATACCTTGTTGTTTCTGTGCAACGTTAAGGATGTGAAAATTAAAGTTTATACTCCATCCATCCATCCATTCAACCACCCATCCATCCAACATCCATCCCTATCCATTCCAACCATCCACCCATCCATCCATCCACCCAACCAACCATCCATCCATTCAGAGTCAGAGTCAGAGAGTCAGAGTTTCTTTATTGTCATTCGCACCTCATGTGGTACATGTGGTGGAGCGAAATTATGTACACGGGGTCCCAGTTACATCCAACAATAAAATTCATCCATCCATCCATCCATTAATTCATTCATTCAACCACTCATCCATCCAACCATCCATTCATCCATCAATCCATTCAACCACCCATCCATCCAACCACCTATCCATTCCATCCATCCATACAACCACCCACCCATACCCACCCCCCCACCATCCATCCATCCATCCAACCAACCATCCATCCATCCAACATCCAAACATCAATCCAACCACCCATCCACCCATCCATCCATCCAACATCCATCCATCCAAACATCCATCCATCCAACCAACCACTCATCCATTCAACCATTCATCCATTCAACCATCCATCCATTCATCCATCCAACCACTCATCCATCCATCCAACCACCCATCCATCCAACAGCCAAACATCGATCCAACATCCATCCAACATCCATTCATCCATCTATCCATCCATCCATTCAACCAACCTTCTATCCACCCATCCAACCACCCATCCATCCAACCATCCAAACATCGATCCAACCACTCATCCATCTATCCAACCACCCATCCATCCAACCACCCATCCATCCATCCATCCAACCATCCATCCATCCAACCACTCATCCATCCATCCAACCACCCATCCATCCAATATCCATCCACCCATCCATTCATCCAACCACCCATCCATCCAATATCC